AGTCGTTTCCAGGTTAGTGTGCGACGTCACCAGATGTTGGGTCGACACCACTTCTTCTAAAGTATTAATTAATTTTGCTTGATTAGATCGCCAGTAAAATAAATGTTAGAAAGTAGAGCTTACTCTGCCAGAAACAACACTCAAATAGTAGCCCCTATTTTATATTGTCTTGAAGTTTGTAAGGAAATACCCCTATAAATGATTTTCGCTTGCCTGCGGACGTTGATTCCCTATGAGGAAGTAAAACTGTATATCTGGCTTTATATGAGCTGTTGGAAGCAGTTGCTTTGTCGTGAAACAACGTTTTGCCGTTGTTTAATGCTATTTGGCCAGTCAGGATGCAATAAAGAGCAAAAACCGGTCAGGAAAGTTTTCGGCCAACATTTTTTGTCTTCCAAAAAAAGAGCCGCGCGGCAAAATTTAAGGTGAATCAAACCAAAAAGTACGCGTTCGTACCTAAAAACACGATTCAGACATCAAGGAACGAATCCAACTAGTTTCGATCAGACCTGTGAGAACGAGTAGATACTGAAAAGTACGAGTTCATACGAGCAAACACGTAGTCAAACTAAAAAGTACGCTAACCTTTGGTGGTTGTGAGCCACGTGGCCAGTTTGCAATCTGATTCCTCGGTGAAATATGGGAGTCCAAGAGCTGGCTGAAGAGGTCCAGCACACGGCTAACGAAGTGGTCAAGAACGCTACGCAGACTGTCTACGATGCGAGTTTCAAGAAGTTTTCAAATTTCTGCATCGCTAACGGCTACCCAGGTCCTCGTAACGAGCGCCATCACGAGCTCCCAGTCGTATTGGTTGAATACTTGCTTCAGTTCTATCTCGCTCCATACTGCTGAGAAAGCGAGGTCAACTGTCGCTAGTTACTTTTCCTCTCATGAAAACAGCGATGGTACCGGTCCGGTGTAAGCACTTGGTGCGTTCGAGAAGACGAGTCTGGAGAAAAACATGGATATGGAAATTCAGCTAGAGACCCTTTCGTTCGTCAATTCATGCGTGGGCTCAAAAAGACGAAGGCTTCAGAGTTTGTATCAGCAAAAGCGATCCCGGTATCGTTAGACATGCTTACGCTTCCTCACGCGTTCCTCGATTTTCCCGCTGGTCTGAAATGATTTAGCAAAGAAAGTTGTGTGTGGTTTAAGGTTGTTACGTCGCTTGCCTTTACGGCATGTGCCGCATTAACGAAGTTTTGACTCTCAAGTGGAAGGACCTGCCGCTGCACCGATTCCACAAGCGTCGTTGCTCTGGATGAATTCATCGAGTATAAAACGTATGCTCTGTTCGATCGCAAAACCGCTGGGGCAGACGAGCGCACGTATAATTTGTATCACGTGTCCAAGGACGAACTCGCTATCAAGGCATACTTGCACTTGTGCAACTGGGTGGACTACGCGCCGAAGCGGAAAGGGCATCAGTGGCATGACAAAGATTTCGTTTTACAGCACTAAACGTCAGCAACAAGGTACTCAAGACCCAAGACACATCTATAGGATGCGAAATGACGTGCGTTGGTTGGGGAAAGAAGATGTCGGAGCAAGTCTTCATCATCTTGATCAACTGCATCGTGCGGGGTCTAAACAGGAATGGAAAGCAGATTACTGGGTATGTGACCAAGCACTGGCTAACAGTTGGTTTACGTCACACACACACAGACACATTTCGCCGTGCTAGTGCCCAATACCGTTTCATGTATGACCAGCCTGGTCGTCGTCGGTAGCTGTGTAAGATTAAGTGGTGGGCTGGGTGGAGTGGCGCTGAGTCAACGGAGACGCTGGTTCGATATTTGCTCGACGTCACCTCCAATCCAAGCAAAGTGGGCTAGCGGACTACTTGGTGCCGGACAATACATATTGATCGAATACTCTAGTGCTTCATACGAAGCCACCAAGAATAGTGAACAAAGACCTTCCTAAACCGGCTCCGTCGTCTTGAAACACTGGTCCTGGAAATGAAAGCGCAAATCAGCGAACTAGCGAGTTCAAACAACGTACCACCGCCAGATGGAAGAGCATCTCCAGAAGTTCACGGCTGGTGATTCGGCCCTACGCTTCGTCTCAGTCTCCTTGACTCTCAAAATGCGCGATCAGCTTTTCGAGCTAGGTCAATGTCTTGTCTTGCGCTGCTTAGGCCTTCTCTTTCGCTCTTTAAAATTGGCTAAATGAAGAGCAACCGATGAGAGCTGCAACTCCACTCGCTTGCGGTACTTTCGCAGTTTTTCTTGGAGAGAGGCAAAAGAGGCTTCACCTTTACCCTTTTCCATTCGGGCCCGACGAATGCGGCGCATCTCACGGTCGTATTCTGCATCCGACAACGTGTCAATAACGTCCTCCAAAAGATCGTCCGAATCGGCACTTAATTGGACCTTTAAACAGTTGAATGACGTTGTCGTTTTGAGCTTGAAGCCGTATATTTCGGCCGAGGCTTCCAATTTGTATGCAGCCAACGGTATATTTTAGGGGTGAAGCGCAAGCATGGCGGCCTTGTAGAACTAGGGTCCCAATTTACTATTAAGGGACCAGCAGAATAAAGGGTTTTGCACCGCTCACGCAAAACGTTGAGACTGAACGCAAATAAATCCGGGTCCTTGCTAATGCCATGAGCTAGGTTCAAACTTGGCTCCAGCGCCCACTTTTTTCCCTTTCAAGGCTCAACATTGAGAGGCATGTCACCCAGTTTGCAAGCTTCTCTCAGGCAACTACATACCATATGGACCTTGTCCCACGCTTTCGCTACCAGGAAGGAAAGCGCCACACGGTGTTCTGCTGTGTTAGCAGGGAAACGATGCTTGGTATGGCAATGTATGCAAAGGTCTCTAAACATTAAACACAAAACAGATATTATCAGATATATGTATACTGTATAGCATATGTCCATCCGGACACCACAACTTTTCATACAATCAAAAAACCTTAACCTTATAGAAAAACCAATTTTCGTGCCATACAAAAATGCAAATCAAATTCAAGATGCATT